TAAAAGTCTGAACTAATAGGCGTGAAAAAGTGATGTTTTGACGACAAATTTTTTCTTGCGTGCCATTTCGTCAATATTTGCTTATTTGTGAAAATGTGACTTCCCTCTCGTACTCGTGAAAGTCCTAAAAATTGGCGGAAACTGCAGTTATCGTGAAATTTTATACGTAAAAGCGTATATTTCACTCGTTTTATCAGCTGTCAAAGTGTGTGATTCTGCCCGAGTATAGGGTCACTTTACGTGCCTTTTACGACCATTTACTGACTATCAGAGGAGGAAAGGATAGTTTCCGCCAATTTTCACAAGTGTTTTTGAGCGATCTCGCCCTTTAAATTTATCCAAATTGTCTTTATTAAAAAATAGGACGCAAGAAAAATTAATGTGTTTTTCTCGCCTATGACGTCACAATTCCAACATGGCCGTCGCCGGTATTCAGGAGCCTTAACTTAAATTTCTTTAAACACTCGCGACAAGTAAGGTTAAAGTTATATAAAAAGGAAAATATAAAAAGAAAGGAATTTATACTGAAAATACAAGGCTATAAACTAGATTTTATAAAAAAAACATGGCAGATTTGTTTAATTTTTTACTGTCATCATCTGATGATGAAGATTATCGAGAACCAAACCGTAGAAGAAGAAAAAGATTTAAACAGCGCATAAATTATATTGAATAATTAGACGACATTGAATTTAAAATGCGGTTTAGATTAAACAAACAGTCAGTTCGATTAATATTGGAAGAAATAAGAGAAGAGTTGTAGTTTTTTTTACGACAGAAAGAGTTGGAGTTTTTTTTCGACATTTGGCCGAAGATCTACTATTAAATGCGATTTCTGTAGTTTTCCAATTTGTCTTTGTCTTTTGAGATTACTGCATCAGATTTTTTATTTTCTATGATATCCTTGTACTGTAAAACCAAATTGGTTAAAATCATTTTTTCCGCTTTTTTCCGAAGAATTGTCGGCACGTTTGAGTTGCTGTTTATTTTTTATGTTTACTTCACTCGACATTATTACTTTTTGCAGCTAAAATATAAAAAAATCTGTTCAGCCAGTTAGAGCAGGCACTGAACCAATCAGCATTTAGTATTCTTGAGTTTCCTACAGTTATATCACATGGGTTATAAGTTTAGTTAAACTTACGAGATATTCAATGCTGGGTATCGATCATGAAACTTTTTCCCTAGGATGAAAAGTGAAAATTTTTATCATTGAAGTTAATGGAGGAATTTTTCACTTTTCACTTTTCATCCTAGAAAAAAAGTTTCATAATCGATACCCTGGTAGAAACTAATCGGTGCTGCTAACTCTCTAACCTAAGGTTTTCTACTTTTAACCTTAAATTCATATATCAAATGTACATTGCAGCTGACAGCTGTGTATAATTCGCTTGCGCGCGCATTCCCTCCCTACAGTCATGCGCATTACCAACTACGATCTTATATAGTAGGTGCGTTCGGCAATGTAAATCTGAGATGCGAGCTAGCAGATGGTGAGCTTGATCACGTGAATTTTCGAGAGACTACGCTCCTTCCAGTACTATATGTTCTAAGGTTGGTAGAAACGGGCATAAATCATAGATATTTATATAACACTAGATCGCTAACTGGGCTCTAGTACATGATTCCTAAAAGTATGTACTAAACCCTAGAGTCCTAGATATCAGAGAAGCGCAACCGATGTTCCGCGTCCTGATTAGCTGACTGTCAGCCAATCATGACATTCATTCAGTGGTATTAAAAATGGCTGACTAATAGACGATTGGTGGATTTCATATTTCGTCTGCAAAAGACGCCATTTTTAATACTTTTCTTAGTAATTTTGCGATACTGACTTAAGCCGGTTGCGCTTCTCTGATATCTAGGACTCTACTAAACCCATGTCACGTGTCCGTGACGTTGGCGCATTACTAGCAGCCGACGCATCTGGAGACAATAAAATACGAGAATGATTGCGACTTACCTATGAAATATTACCACTTGATTTTCTTTTCCACTTAAACGGCGGCAACTTTTAACACGATAATTGATAATGGCATTGTAAATTTTCCAAAATCACGCACAAACGAACGTTACACGTACGTATATCGCCCATATGGCCTTACCGCGGCCATTACACAATAGTATATACCACGTGACCGTTTCATTCCGACGTCACGCTTCGAAATACATAAATTTTGGAATCAATTTTTATGCACGGTATATAGGGAAGTTAGCGATCTAGTGTTATATAAATATCTATGGCATAAATCTGCTATTTGTAAGTTATAAGGTTAAAACGGGGAGCACAGACTTTTGTATAACGCATAAACCATATACATAAAGAATTTGATTGGTCCATTGACTCATGCATAAGAAAATGGGCCAATGAAATTCCTTATGCACATGCTTTATGCGTTATGCAAAAGTCTGTGCTCCCCGCTTAAGAGATTGAAATACGAAGAAGAAAATTAAAATATACTATATCCGGAACAAAAACTCAACTTAACCTGTTTTTAGACAAATAGGTGTAAACAGGAACGTTTATCAAATGTTTAATCCGCACTAACTTGATACGCGACTAATCAATTTAACGGTGTAAAAGGGGTCAATAGACAATAAAACAGAGACAACAGACATAAAACAGAGTTTACTGTGTTAACTTATTATTCATAATTAATAGATGTTTCATTTTTATAAGAATAACAATATATATAGTATTATACTAGGTATACAGAAATGCGCATTATTAATAATAAGAAGTAATAAGTAATACGCAAATATATAAAGCACAAAACTAAATACCGAATATATACAACTAAAAATATTAATTATATAGAAAATATTAAATTAAACACACACAAAGAAATAATGGAAATAATTTATATATAACATCTTAAACACAAGCAGAAATAAAATGATAATATATTCAAAGGTAAATATTTGACACAGATATTTAAGAACCTTCAATACTGCACTAACATCGTTTTCAAAGAAATGAGTCTTGCTACACATCAAAATTTATGAATACGTAATGTTTCAAATTAATTAAATTCATTCATTTAAAAAATTATGAAAATATGATATTTGATTTTTAATTTGAGACTCTCGCATTTCTAACTTGAGACGGATATTAGAAACTAGTTTTTCATTCATAAATGTATGCCATTGCACGTTATAGCGCATCTGTAACAAATATTATCTTAATGTTTATATTTCATAAGTAACATATTTTGGTTTTTTATAAAATAATGTATCATAATGGTATCGCACAACACATTTCGTCATTTTTCACATGAATTGAATTATGTGTGTATTTGCATACTTGCTTATATGTACAAGTAAATATTCTATAGTAAGAAAAAAATTTATATAAGGATAAAAATATTTTTATTTAAATTACTCTTTACTTACTTGATTAAAAGCTGTTGATGAATATATATTATTGATGATATCAAATAATATTATTGTTCTGGTTTTGCTAAATATAAAACAATATATACGATTATAATCTTATATATGTATAAACCATATATAAAAATTTAACATTATATACATTAAAACAATATATATTTATAAAAAAATATTTCCTTACACAGATGTAATCCAATTAGAATAAAATATAATCTGTTCAAGCATGTAGTCTTCTTTAGCATACTTCATAATAATTAGGTGAAAAATGTTTATGTAAGAATGAATATTCGGAATACATAGTATGTCATAACGGTAGTACTTTGTACGCGATATCATGTCTAACAACTGTATTGTGAAATCAGGAGAACAAATTAAGTATGATAAAAACTTATAGTCAGATTTATTTCTC